GACACTTTTTAGCGCGGACCCGACGTCCATATAATTGTAAGTCAATGTATACAATGCATATTTTGCATTTCAGTTATTTTGCGCTTTAAGATACGAGCTAGAGAAAGTAAGGCGATGATATCTATATGTGATTTTAGAAACCAGTAGTGCACTTCTAATTTGGCCGGGGTTGTTTGGACAGTTTGTCTTTTTTTGAAAATGGAGTAAAATGGCAGTTTATTGCGTTAAAGTGTTGCTCGCTTGCAAGCGCCTAGTGATTGCAGTCGATAAATAATATCCTATCTATCGATAGAATATTGGTCACGCTTATGGAATAAATAGCCGAACTTGTTTCATTTGAATCATCACTGGTTCATTATTCCTCCTACTGCTGGGCATAGGTTAATTTGAATTATAGATTTTTGTAAATTCATATATACGTACACTACATTTAATCTACGCCTATTAATCTATGTCTATTAAAAATACAAATACGTATTTTAAAGTTTACTAATGTTAGTAATGTACACAAGCAAATTAAAAAGTATATGAATATAAAAATTGATTTTGACACTAGTAGCTCAACTGTCAAAATAAGAATATAGAAGATAATAACACAATTACAGGAACCAGGTACGAACAGGTACGATGTGATAGCCGTTTTCACAGATGAGGTCAAATCTCAATTCTTTATCGAAAAAAAATAATCAAATGCGAGTCACATCTATAAGTTTTTAGATTCATAACTAGTATTGCAAGGGGTAGCTGATTAAAAAAGTTTTTATAAAACGAATTAGAAATTTTTTAATGTTTATATAGTCAATTCGAAACTGCTTTGTTTTTTACATTGAGCTTTGACGCGAGTTTGCCGGAGGTAGAAGTTGCGCTGGCCTGCGATCCCATAAGTGACGATCGTATTAGATTTCATTTTTTTAAATTTCGAATTTCGAACAACAAACGCCGAGTTGTGTCGTAAAATTACACAATCCATAAATTTTACTGCACGTCACTATTGACAACAACGATTAGAGAGAATAGACACTTTATTCACTAGTATGACACAAATACAGATTGAATACAACAGGAAAAATAAAACATTTTTGTCATAGTAGTGACATGGCGCTGACTGCGCCTAAGTTTCCTAAGGCGCCGTTTTTTTGCAATTAACTCCTTCAACGTTTATGAATTAATACGAAACTTGATGAGCGGACAAACGTCAAAACGGCCGACACAGCGTGCCGGTATTATAGTAACATTCATAATCACGAAATTTTTTTGCAAAATTTTACCTTCTATCGCAATCTATCGATAAGTTTATCGATATCGATGTCGACAACAAAACATGACTATTTAAAATTTTATGGAAACTGGCAACCCCGCAAATGTCATTTTACTCCGTCCTCAAAAAAGACAGACTATACCGAGTGCAGCGGTTCATTGCAGTTGCAGTGCCGTTTGCAGAGCTTTAAATCGTAAAGACCTGAAGAAGCACTGCCACTGCATCCGTCATCTTGACACTTAAAGTTGACAAGTCCTATGTGCTTGTAGTTTACCCTTCAAAACCAGAACGCAGTAACGGTTAATGATGAATCTAACATATAGCTAACCCTTATTCTACTACGATTAACAAACTAACACGCCTATTTGCCATTTATAATAGGAACTACAAATCGACAACAACAAATCTAATTGTTTATGGATTATATTCTCCTTTAGGATAAACACTAATATACGAAACTTTTTCTGAAACCGGTTTAAATGTGTCACCAATGGTCACAGTTTTAGTGTTATCAGATTTCTTCTTATCCCTTTTTCGTAATCTGGCAACATTGTTGGAAAACTTCTTTTTTCTCTCCACGGGCTCGACGAACGCTTGTTTCTTTTCCGTGTCTATGGTTTGTATTTTGTTTTTTTCTTTGCGTTTGTAATAGAACACTTCCCATGCCAGAGTTATCATTGCCAAACCCAGGCCGAATAGAGTTGCTATAAAAACTCCACCTGAAAAAAAAAATGTTTTTGAGTTTTAACGGCTTTGGCGTAAAGCCAGCTTAAAGCTTATACTTCATTTGTCTCAAAATACATAGTCTTTTTTACACTATAGATGGATTTTTAAATTCATTCGAGTCATCGTACTTCGCCTTGCCGAAGGCAATAAGTACCGTCCATATAGTACGTCAGACGACTCACTGCTAGACGTCAAACGGAGGTCGCCTGACGACTTGGTGTAAATGCGCCATTACCCTTCAAAACCGGAATACAGTAATGCTTACATCACTCCTTGGCAACAGAAATAGGTCCTTATTCTGATACTAAAAGGAGTGTATGTATGCACAATTTGGGGAAAAAGGGACATTTTGAGAAAGGGACATTCTGAGAAATGGACTTTTTGCGTGCGGTAGACATTTTGTAAAGTGTCGGACTGAGCGGTTTAAAAGCACCTCTTCAATTCAAGTGTTCAATTACCGATAGGAAAATTTGGAGGCAAACTTTGTAAATTGGGAACTGAGTGTTCTAGGCAGTGCCGGAGTAAATTTCGTTGCTGTGGTACTCGTTCATGGTACCTACAGGGAATTCGTTTAGAGACCAAGGCTTGTCTTGGCTTCTAAATTATATATTAAAAATAGTATGATATTGTTTGTTACCTAAACTTTCAAGCGTAATGCCTTCGGATTCGTCTGCATCAGGACAAGCTTGTCTAGCCGACTCGTTCCAGTATCTGAAAAAAAAAAAACAAAAATATATAATAAAATTATATTTTAATACATTACTGTACTAAAACAACCATGACGTGCAGCTTTAGAAATCTCTCTATGTATGGAACTAATAAAGACAAAAACATTATATTTATTCCTTCCATTAAATTTGTACCTACTGCCTCCGTGGCCGAACGGTTACCACTGCTACGCAGAGGTCCCAGGTTCGATTCCCGGGCCGGGAGAAATGTTTGTATGGCCTACATTTATTTCTCTCGTGAGTTTGGGTGTTATTTTTGGTTGTCTATGTGTGTGACCATGGCATCCGCGACTCAGGGTTTCCCGTTGAGTGTGTGCGTTATTATTATTCCCACTAGATCAATGCATGACACGTTTGGGTTACAATTGTTCCACGTGGAACTCTCCTATCCTAGTGGTATTTCATATCATCAAATAGCTTTGGTTGATTTTGCATAACAGTGAAAATGTTGAATCAATCACTGGAGAAAACATGTAGTAAAATTGCGGAATCTGCCAAAGCCAGAGTTTGTACCGAGTCTGATTATAATATGAAACACCACAAGGATATTACTATAGGTGCGACATTGACTTACAAATAAATAGACGTCGGGTCCGCGCTAAAAAGTGTCCGACTTACACTTACAGAGCGTTAAAATCGTATACAGAGCGTCAATCACGCTTTAGTCTTCGTTTGTTCGACTGACAGCGCGCTTGTCAACGATGCCGTATTGTGTGGTAAAACCTTGTAAGAATTACTCAACTATCAAGGTGCGACTATCATCTTTGCACTCCAAAGTACTATTTGCGAGGTTTTGGAGCTTTTTCTTTCTTATAATATCAAGTGAAGGGACGAACAAGTCGTGCGCCTGATGTTAAGCTACACGCCTATCCATAACAGTTGCAGTGCCACTCAGAGCTTTAAATCGCAAATATTTGAGGGGCTCTGCCACTGCGCCCGTCATCCTGAGACATAAGTTGACAATTCTAATGTGTCTATAATTTCACCAGCACCTTTATCCTTCAAAACCGGAACGCAGTAATGCTCTCATTACTGCTTGGCGGCAGAAATAGGTAAGGTAGCAGTACTACCCTGGACGAACTCTTTCACAAGGAATTAACCCTACTGCTACTCACCCTACTAACTTTAGCAGAAGCCTCTGGTTTGTGGTTTATTTATAAACCACAAAGAGACTATCGATCACCACTTAGCACGATCCTTACAAACCTCTCTTGCTTTACTTACATTAATTAATCTTTTCATACATACTCTTGCTCTCTCACTAAGCACTCCAAACTTTTTAAGATCACTTCTCAATTTGATAACAGTTGCAGTGCCACTCAGAGCTTTAAATCGCAAATATTTGAGGGGCTCTGGCGCATGCGCCCGTCACTCTGAGACGTTACCTTTCAAGACCGAAACACAGTAATGCTGACATTACTTCTTGGCGGCAGAAATAGGTAAGGTGGCAGTACTTCCCTGGACAACCTCTTTCACAAGGAGCTCTACTACTACTAAAAGCTCAAGTATGTGGAACTGCGCGTACGTTTGGCACACATGCCCCACTCTCTGAGCACTTTTATTGTAGCCTTGCAATGTGTTATGGTATGACACTTTAGTGATTAAAAACATCTTACTTGTTGGCAAGTTGTTCGAGAAACCTCTCCTTCTGTATTTCAAGGAGCGCCCTAGACAAGTCTTCTTGCAACCTTGAACCTTGTTGCACAGCAATAGCGTATGGCTGTTCTGCAAACACTTCACCAACATCAGTTAGGTTGCAGTTTCTTGTTACTTCGTATCTGAAATGGTACATTTTTATTTGTCGATGGATTTTTATGGTTATTAAGTGACAGGATGAATAAGTCGTGCGCCTGGTGGTAAGCGACACGCCTGTCTAAGGACAGGCAGACAGTTTTCTTTCTTTTTGCTAGGGCAGAAAGAAAGAAAACTGAACGTTTTAGATTTACTTAAACCAGTCACTGATATTAATTCTATACCAATGCATAAATACAAAAAGCTTACACTATTTGAAAAACTTTGAAAAATTTCTTTCTAATATCAATCTTGAGGTTGTAAATGAATAGCGATCGTCAGATTAATATTATACAATTTTCGCTTTTTTAATATACTCTCAAATTATATTTTTTCCTGCACAAATTAACTTTTTATAATATTTGAGCATTTATAAATGTAAAATAATAAATTCTCACATGACATTCCCGGATACTCCCATAAAATGTAAAATATTCCCAAATAGAATATTGATCGACTTTAATTAAACGTTTCCAAGTCGATAATGACTTTTCGATAGATTATACAACACTAAAGCCAATTTGTAGCATGTAAAAGAACCTATTTCACCATTCGCGTTATCCGTTATTGGCCCGTTATTGTCTATGGCATCCGAAGCCTAAAACGAAAGCGTTGTGGCTAACGAATTGCGGACGGCTCACGGATCGTTTTGATTTCGTACGCAGCTGCGGTTGTATATTTTGAGAGTAGGCCTTCTGTTTATTACACAAGCACAGACATGCATATAAACAAAACAACACAGGAACAAAAATAATAATAATAATAATTCAAAATTAATCTTTTAGGCGCTAGGAGAAGCGAGAGACTAAAATAAATAATGATATCACAATAATAAAAGAATAAAAAAATTAAAACAACTGATACTGATAACTGAATTAAAACAATTAATAATGCAGTACATAATTCACCGCCATGCGTGTCGCGGCTGGTGCAATCGGGACTTGCTCAGCTTTAGCCACAAACGGGTTTTTTTTAAACCGTTTCGTGGTGCTGATTTTCAGCAAGCTCGGGCGAGTGAGCCACTGATAATACTTAGAAATCCACAATAAATAAATAAACAGATAAAAAAACAGTTGCAGTACAGCTCAGAGATTTAAGGGGGTACCTGAGGAGTAGTAGGGGTTACCTATCAATAGTCCGAAATGACATTTTCCAGAAATAACGTTTGGTCGAAATTTCATAACCTCGAAAGTAATTTTGAGAGGAAACTTTTAAACCTAACCTAACCGAACCTAATTGTGTCCTTGTGATAAACATTCAACATATCCTGAAAGAACAGCTGTTTCGTTATAATTCGGTTTTCGGTGTAATGAAAATTCGAACAAACGTTATTTCGGACAAAAAAAATTTCGACTTTGTGATAGGTTACCAGAAGCCGGATCAACTTTTTTGCTACATCAAATGGTTTAGGTATTTACTATTCAATAATGGTCCTACAAATATACGATGTACCTAAGGTATTGTCTCTAAAAAATGTGTTAATTTGTTACAGAATACCTCATCTAATCACCGGTCATTCTCACATACGGTGTTCTCAGCCTAATTACCGTAGCCTTTTCTTTCTCTCGCTTAACATTCGTGTACCCACGCGTTGGTCTCTCAGACCGCCGATTATCGTTTGCCGTGTTTTTTTTAAACGGAAATCATTAGAGCTTTTTTGCTCACAGCTATCTGCATGGTTCGTGGCTAACTTCATTTTAAACCGGGCACTTACTAGCGAGCTGTAAGTGTATTCGTCCCGTCGCTTAATTTTATAAAAAAAGGTACCTTATTTCAGCAGAATCGTGAATGAAGGCAAAATCTGCATCGGCATGGTCGTTCACTTGTTGGAATCCAGTTTTTGCGTCTGGCACCGGACCTGAGGAAAGACAATAAATGATTTCAGTCATTGACTTACAAATAAAGGGACGACGGGTCTAATACAAAAACCACGAAAAAAATGTCCCAAGTCAACCTATTTAAACGTAGTGACATGTAAAGGAATATGAAAAAGCGAAAACGTTGCATTTAAATTGTAATGTCATCGCAGTACTGTCTAATTTTGCTCGCTTCGCTGTCAGTCGAACAAACGAAGACTAAAGGGTGAATGACGCTCTGTATACGATTTTAACGCCCTATAAGTTCGGACACTTTTTAGCGCGGACCCGACGTCCATATAATTGTAAGCCAATGATTTCAGTAGTTAATTTTTTTATATTTAATATAAAATGTGGGGCTTTTTAAAGATGAGCGACAAGGGCACGTGGGAATTGTCAACTTATGTCTCAAGTTGACGGGCAGAGACAATGCCCCTCAGGTCTTCGCGATTTAAAGCTCTGAGTGGTACTACACACATAAAAAGATCCGAAAAAATAATTATCCCGATGTCCCCATAGCGCAGAAAAAAAAGGAATAATATCTCACTCATGATCAAACTTGCAAAACATTTGATTAACTGATTTTGCGTGTGGGGAATTCCGGAAAAATATTCCCAAAATCCCCACAATGGGAGACGGTCAGGGGGTTTTGGGTAATAATACAACCTGAAGCGTTAATAGCGAGGAGTATATGCCCATACTGCTCTCTGATGGGGTAATCCCACACCCGGTATTGCGCCTGATCGGACGTAGCGTTCAGGGTTATTTCTTTCCATACCCTGGGAATAAAAATTACATTAACATTTTTCGCGTGTTCTCGGAAATAATAAACACATCCGAGAAATATACATTATTGCAGAGCCGGGAAGTAAGGGATTGCTGGACGAATATGAGTTACAAAGGCGAGCGACAGCGAGGCCAGTATTGATACGAGTCAAGCAATCCCCGTTCCCGCCGAGGCTTGTATAGAATTTTTCTCAAACTACGTGAGGAAAGAATAAAAGACTAAAGAGAGGAAGATCTATAGTAGAAAAAAGTAAAAAAAAATAATTAAAAGTAATATTTCGACACCTCCTACGTAAAGTATCGTATGTCGCAATTGCGAAGTTTACAGGGAAGCATTTTAAAGTTCTGAATTCACTGAAATGAGCATAACACGACAAAGCTAATCTAATAGATCATCTAACCGATATATAGGGTTTTACAATACTCTGTGTAAGTAACCGTTTGCCGAATAAAACTGAAAAATGCTAAAGTCACCTGTTATGCTCCTTTCAGTGCATTCAAAACTTTAAAACACTTCCATGTAATCTTGGCAATTTCGACATACGATACTTTACATAGGAGGGGTCGATTTGACGTGCTAGCACAATTGTTAAAAGAAAATGTTATTGTTTTTCCAGGTACATTAATAATAATCAGCTGAATTTCTGATGATGTGTATGGGTGTGTATCTATTACTGTATTTTCATTACCGCTCTTCTCACTAGCACTCATTTTCGCGACCAAAATACAAAAAGACGAAAAAACAATAAAATATCAAAATACCCTAGTTTAAATATTACCGCCATTTTCTTTTCTTCAAGTAAGTGTTACAGACACACCCCGGACACTCCAGACAACGGTCTAAAATTATTTACCTACTACTACTACATAAAGCAAGGCGCTATCTGCACACGCGCAAATGTGTGCGTGAAGTGGCAGGGTTACTCATCACTTTCTCGCACTATTACGTTACGTGGTCAGATCATTTTCACAGTTCGATGACATTTTGATTAAGAGACCACCAAACTAAATCAACCACTTTAATAAAATTTAAGAAAATAAATGAATGAAGAAATCCGAATTCTTATTTATACAGACTACAAATTTTCTCAGTGAATCCCCTAAAATGGTAAGTTTTTATTTCCCAAATAAATCGTTTACACGTCGATCGACGTTTGAGCTAGGAAATTCCTGTGTTAATTTTTGTTATCTGTTCCTGTAAAAGATAAAAATAATAGGGATGCCAACTTGGATTATTGAAAATCGATAAAAATTCCTTAAAAAAAATCGTAGAAAAATCAATCCATTTCGGTATTTCGGTAGGATGAGCGCCAAATGGGTAGGAGTACCGAAATAACCGCAATTTCATAACAACTCTTCAAAAGAACTTGCGTAAAAACGACTAATTACGCGTCGCAACACCTCCCCTCTTCGTCTCCTGGCCCTTTACCCAATGCACACGTGTTCCGTTGCCACGCGCCAATTCAACGTACCGTGTAGCATATACTACTAATTTATATGTAATGCAACACAGCGTTACCGCTATGGCATCGCAACGCATCGTGAGGCGTCGCTCTTAAATGTTCCAGTGTGTGTATGTCATCTGGAGTGGCTGGGAGGTTTTGCTACCTATTAAAATTTGATGGTGCTATGGACTGTAAGGCGCGGTTCTAGAAGAAGGTAAGGATAGTCGGATTTACGGCTATAGCATCGAGAAAATAAAAAGAATAGAAAATAGAAAGAGATTATTATGAAGAAAAAACTGTGCCGTACCTGGAACTCCTCGTTAGGGCTGTATATGTTGGAGGTGTACATCCCCAGGGGAATATTTACACGCAAATTCAAATCACATAAAATAATGCGGTTTTTCAATGAAAAATGTCCGTCATCCGCTAGAACAGCGTAGTCTCGACTTTCCTTTTTTCGAAGTGGTCGCGGCGAGGTGTGTCTGTGTACCGTTTAGGTTCTCGGGTTTCTCTCAGAGAAAAGTTTAGGGAGACTGGTATCATGACTGTGGCATCACAGTACATTTACTTAAATATTTTGTATGCCCGTAAAAACGTACATGACTTCGTTAAAAAAGAAGATATCCATAATGTTAACTTTAGAACTCAGTCCACACTCATGGTACCACGTTTTCGTTTAGCTAAAGTAAACGATTCTTTTATGGGGAACTGTATACGTTTTGACAATAAGATTCCGGAGCATATATTAAGTTTATCATTTCCTAAGTTTAAAAACTACATTAAAAATATTTTGATCGAAAAGTCATATTACAAAATTGAAGACTACGTGTTAGATAAAGATGTATGGAAAGACAACGCGAGTCTAGATTCCATACAAATATGATTCAGAATGTATTCTATAGCATTTAATTTTAATTGAAAAGAGCAAGCCCTAGAGTTTCTTGCTCGTTCTTCTCAGAGAGGTCAGCGTAGTGAACGAGCAGTAGCTTAAAAAACTACGTTTTCAAGTGTGAAAATTTTACCTATGGAATAAATGATTATTTGACAATACTTTGAGGTTCTCTTGCCGTACCGCGAGCCAGCAAATACGAAGCCAGCGCACTCTATTGGCGACTTCTTGTCTTCTATCCCTTTCATTCAAAGGCATTTTGGCACAGTGAAACGAAAGTATCACCAAAGAAGCGGATATTGGTTTGAAAACGAAAGTTGAACATAGCCAATAGAAATTTAAATTGTAATAATTCATGTGTGGTGTTACCATCATCTCTGGCTGCAATGGAATATTGATCATAAATTGGTTCCGCGCACCTGTACAACGTATCCTCAGCAAACTTCATGTTAATAAAATATTGGTGTATAGTAGAGCTTTCTACGACGGTGTAGTTTATACGTGATTGCCTCGCCAATTGTTCTAGCGATGATACTGGCGTCTGAGAACAAAAAGACATCCTGTAGAAACAGATTTTTTTTATGACATCAAGTGACGAGAGGCATTTCCATAGAGAAGACAATTCAGATGTCGCGAATTAAGTCACGATATTTATACGGTTGCGTACAATATTGAGCTGCGTTGATATGTTCTAGTTCAAGTCTTATTTTGGCGGACTTAGTAAGTTTCATCAACAGGTAACTTTGTTTTTATTTATTCATAATCCTAAATTGTATAACATTTTAAAAACAATTTTATTGTTCAACAGTAGCTTAACAGATGCTATCTGTTTGAATTGCACCAGTGCTGTGCGTTACGTCAGAGTGAGACAGGTAGCACATCTCACTCTAATAGACACAAACTAATCGACGCGCCGTCAAACTTTTATCAGAAATGTTTATTTTTAATTTAATGGCAATTTATTGTTTATTTCCTTCTTTTGCTCTTTCCAAGTGTACAGTTATGTACAACATTGTACTTTGGTTTGCTGCACTGACATGTTCTAGTTTTATTTTGCTGTAGCAAGATGGTTTAATTCTAGTTATTTTGTTGTCTGTGTGTGTTTGTTGATGTGGTTAATCGTATTAAGACATTTTATTAGTATTTTTAAGTTTGTTAGTCACCAACGAAGATGATAACATTAAATATCAACAACAATTAACATTTAAAAAACATTTACCAATATTTTCTTTTACATTTTTTATTTACAATTAGAACAATATCACTTTTTTGCACTTTTAACAGACATTCCTAAAAATACCCTTATGATATCGGTTACCGCGTCGTCGTGATCACGAGGTAACGTCCTGTAAGGCAGTGTTGCCATTCTGTCCTTACAATCTTAATAGCAGAGAACTCCTTGTGAAAGAGGAAGTACTGCCACCTTACCTATCTCTGCCGCCAAACAGTAATGTTAGCATTACTGCGTTCCGGTTTGGAAGGGTAAGGGTGCTGGTGAAATTACGGGCATATGGCACTTGTCAACTTATGTTTTAGGGTGACGAGCGCACTGGGAGTGCCCCTCATGCGATTAAAGGGTCTAAGTGGCACTGCAACTGTTTTGGACAGGCGTGTCGCTTACCACCAGGTGCACTTGTTCGTCCCGTCATTTAATATTATTAAAAAAAACTAATGTGCATAAACTTATACAATTTTTCGTATAAAAAAAACCAATATTATTTTATAATACCACTAAATTTTTAATCGTTCTTGTAAAGTTAACTGCCTCCGTGGCCGAACGGTTACCATGCCGGACTGCCACGCAGAGGCCCCAGGTTCGATTCCCGGGCCGGGAGAAATATTTCTATGGCCTACATTTATTTCTCTCGTGAGTTTGGGTGTAATTTGTGGTTGTCTATGATGTGTGTCCATGGCACCCGCGACACAGGGTTTCCCTAGTGCGGGGCTATGTTGAGTGTGTGCGTTATTATTATTAAAGTTGCTGTTTTTCTTTTACACTACGTTTATTCGGTGACGCCACGGAGGGGCCGTCGTTATATCTCAGGGTGACAGACGCAGTGGCAGTGCTTATCAGATCTGTGCGGTTAAAAGAACTATCGCTTTATGGTTTAAGATAATTATTTCTCAAAAGAATACAAATTCACGTAGCGAGCTTACGTGCTGACAAAATATTCAAATGAAGGTATATAGATAAAATTTCGTCTTCTAAGAAAAAACAAAGCAAGCTATTCAAGTATTGTACGTCAATTGCCATGGTGAAAATTGAATAGTAATACTTACCAACTCTTAGAAATAAAAATATCAAAACAGCGAGAAGTTCCTCACGATGTGGAATTTTAATTTCTTTTTGAATAATTGAAATGATTGTATTTCCTTAATGTCTTTTGGTAATTTGTTGTATAACTCGTCCGCGGTATTTGCAAATATATAATTACAATCTACTCACCTGCATTCTCTCCACAGTGAGAAACGCTGCCAAATTGGCAGTGAAAGTAGCTAACATGAGAACGACAAATAACCAATACGCTGCTACCAATGTCCGTCCGGACAATGCCTTAGGCGCTTCGCCACCCCCTTGTGGCGTGAACGATGTTAAGGCGAACCAGAAACTCTCTTTCAGGGTGAACTCTCTGAAAGAACAATTTTTTAACGAGTTCTTAGATTTTCGCATTTTAAATGAAACTATTTTATTTATTAAATTAAAATTTTATTTTTTTTATTTCTCAATTTGGTTCAACAATGGTAGATCAGGTCCTCCCTTTAAGCAAATGTATGCTTGTGTTGGGAAAGCCTTGTAACTAAGCTTAAAACTGAGAATTTACAACAAAGTTACATCAGTGGGTTAGTTTTAAGATATAATCATATTTAAAATGGAAAAATTAAAAATGAAAAAAATATAATAATAAAAATTAAAAATAAAATGAAAAATTTTTAGTATGTAATGTGTATAAACTTGTGTGTGTGTGTGTGTGTGAGAGAGAGAGAGAGAGAGAGAGAGAGAGAGAGAGAATGTGTGTGAGTGTGAGTGCGCGCGCGTGCGTGCGAGCGTGTGTGCGTGCTTGCGTGCGTGCGTGCGTGCGTGCGTACGTGCGTGCGTGCGTGCGTGCATGTGTGTGTGTGTGTGTGTGAAGAGATAGAGAGAGAGAGTATGTGTTAGCGTGTGTGCGTACCTGTGCGCGTATGCATGTTATGTATTTAAATGATTTGTAGTGTTAATTAAATTTTTATTGAATTGATATTCAATTATTTTTTGTGAAATTACTCCACTAGTTTGTTATAATTAGTACGCTGTTAACCTTTTGTAATAATGTACCAATATTTACAACAGCTGTTAGAGCCTATGCACTTTTATTATTATATGCGCCGACGACACACGTTTCACAAACACGCGTTTACGGTACCGTAAGCGCCCGTAATTTAATAATTCAAACTTATTGGATTCATTCGAGGATAGGCGTCTATTAACAGATATGAAGTTTCTATTTGATGTAGTTAACTCTGTGTTGGATTGTCCTGAGTTTCTCCTGCCCGACTCGTACAAGACATATGCGCTCCTTGCACACGGGCTCAGTCCGTTTAAACTACGCGAAATACTCTGTTGTGCTTAGAATTGTGTGTACTTACCTGGACAAATTTATTAATTCTTTGAAGGGACACCCCCACTTTAAAAGATAATAACTGTTATATAAATAGAGCACAAACACACATGTAGAATAGTAGAAGTAGACACACAAATGCGCATGCACTCTACTATAGTTTATTTGTTTATTATATTGCAAGTAATTAAAAATTAATGTCTAAATCTATTATACAATGGAATTCAGTTATAATATGTTATCAATTTTGTATTTCAATTTGTTAGATTGTTCTTTGATAAACAATATGTTAAGACGCTTCGTTCTGGCATCAAATTAGTTTTTATGTAACGTAAATAAATGAATTGTAATCTGACAAACTTTGTAATTGGCTATATAAATGTAGCTGCAAAGTTTTCAAACAAATAAATAAATAAAATTATTATAATATCTAATAAACTCCTGGAGTTTACACTTAGAATTTCATGTAGTAGCCTGAATTAAAAAAAATAACTGAAAATAATAAACAAAACTAAAATTAAAACTATATGACTGTCTCTTATCAAAATGCGCGATACATACGCGCGGCTGCCGCGCGTGTACGCGCAGATGACACGCGTTTACGGCGCGTGCACGTGCGGCGTCAGCGTACATCAAATACTGTGCATAGGCATTAAATGACTTCATTTTGTTATGGACAAAAACACAATACACAATATTTACCTACAAGGATAAGGGTAAGCATCAGGGTTATTCCTCGCCGAGTACGGAGAATACTTATCCAGCAGCCAGATCATGAAACCAGTGAGGACTAGAGCGGCCACGATGCTGAGCCAGACCTCGGTACGGAGGACCGTCATGAATTTGAACAGAGATGTTTTGCGAATTGGTTTACGTATTACTGGAAAAATAAACAGTATTCTCAGAAAAATTATTGCTTGCTATATCTTTAGTTCCTAAGTGATTTCCACAGATAAATTATATCGCACTGCTATTACAATAGTGTTGTAACTCAAAAAATGTGAAATTGAAGATTATACTAATGCTGAAAATAAAATTTGGTTCTCTACACGTCAATGAAACCGTCGTTAAAATATTGTAAGAAACAGTTAAAATAAATCTATTTAACTCAAAAAGAGACAAACTTTTTGCGAACCAGTTCTGGTTAATAAATAAGTTTCTATAAAATATGAAGTTATTTTTTCCTTTTATTTGGCAAGTAGGGAATTGTTTAGATGTCTGTAATAAATAAACTTTAACCTATACATCAATTTTAATAAATATTTCGCTGGACGTGAGTAATTCGTTTTTCATCGAATCTGAAAAAATACACTTTTTGAGTTAATACACTATTGTATAAAACAGTGCGAATCTAAATAGACGTCGCATGTATCGCGATCTGTATCAAAACCAAGCGTGCCATATTTTTTCATCTCCCTAGCTCGGAAAGGCTTTCTTTCTCATTAGAAATCTGCGCGCAAAAGCGTTTTTTTCCACCCTAGTGTGGAAAAGTTTTTGAAATTCGAACTTGACGATGGACTGTGGTGCACCAAACTTTTTCTTTCGATGAAAAAATAGATAATGGCACGTTCAATTACGCGATTTGTCGTACATTACTTATTTATGTAATATAAATCCGTTCGCATGTTTTATTCTTATTCGAGTGTGAGTAGTAATGGACAAATCTTACCAATAAGTATTCCAGTTTGTTCGAAGTAGGGCGCGACAAAATCAATCACTTCTTCTCTTTCCGCTGTCATTGTTAACGCTGCCACTGCTAGATCCGTTTCCTAGATAATCAGAGATTTTCTTTTGGTTTCAAGGACACCCTTAGAGAATGAATGAACATCTATGGAATTAAATTAAATTTTAACCGATTTCAAAAAAAAGAAGGAGGTTCTTAATTCGAGTGTATTTTTTTGTATGTATGTTACGCGATAACACATTTGTGAATCGAATTTGTTGATATTTTTGTTGGAAAGAGGGTGCCTCAGTATTGGTCCCATTTAAATTTGAAGAAATCCTAATAACACCTTAGGCCATACTGTATTTCGAAAGAAAACTCATACAGATTGGTAATTCCCATCACCGTCCTAGTTAGTTAGCTACCGTGGGCAAATCTTTGTTTCAGACAGCACATGGTGTCTGCGGCAGTAATCATCTGGCAGGGGAACTTCAACATATAAAGCAAGTCCTACATGCGAATAAGTTGAAGATTCCACGCCAATGCCGCAGGCCCCGTGTGAAACCACCAACAATCGAGCGAAGACCTCCCATTTTACCTTACGTGAGAGGTGTTACAGACAAGATCGGAAGAGTCCTCAGGCGTGCATCTATCAAGACCTATTTCAAGCCCCTGAGGAAGATTTCTCAGTTCTTGAGACCCGTGAAATGTAACACCCCCTTACAGGATGCAGGAGTTTACAAGCTTGACTGTGAGTGCGGCCTCTCTTATATTGGACAAACGAAGCGAAGTATTTGTGCCCGCGTCAAAGAACATTTAGCTGATGTCAAACACCGTCGCGTAAACAAGTCTGCAGTCTGCGAGCATGTCATGGATAAACTTACACATTCAATGAAATTTGACAAACCCCAAGTTCTTGCAAAAGAAGTCCGATAACTACCCATGATGCTGCGAGAGGCCATTGAAATTAAAAAACATCCTAATTTCAACAGGGAAGATGGTTTCTCCGTACCACCAGTTTGGGATCCAGTATTTCCTCTGATGAAAAATCCCAAACAGACATAAGACTGCAGTGCTAATTAATGTGTTTTAATTTATTCTATTAATTAATAATAAATTGAACCTAATAAGTTCATTCAATAAAATAATTTGGAAAACGTAATGTAGCATAAATTGGAATGTTTTCTTTATAAAATTAAAAGTAAGGTATTGTAGCGGAGCGTTAGTTCCAAACGACACCGTTAGATGGCATTGACCACTTTGAAGCTATTTCTAAAACGCGGTGTTGAGATTTTCCTTCGGCACTATAAGTAGTTAAGCAAAGTATATGTTGTTGATTAACCGTCCTCGTCGGCGAGGTCGTAGAGCCCCTCATTTTAGCACACATACTGGTAGATTCTCTCCAACAGCACGCCCTTCTGGCGGAAGTCTCCAGTAGCGCCCTGAGCCGAGGTCCGTGCCCACCTGGGCG